GAGAGAGAGAGAGAGAGAGAGAGAGAGAGAGAGAGAGAGAGAGAGAGAGAGAGAGAGAGAGAGAGAGAGAGAGATGTTTCCGCTGCTGGATGGATAAGTAGCATGAAAATTAGCTTAGTGGGCAGTGTGGATACTCAGTGGCTGCTATGCTCTTCAGGCAAAGAGAAAGTGTGAGCATTATCACGGTATCTAGACTGAAAGTTGCTCCAAATACAGCTAGAATAATAATACCCGAGCGTTCGCTGGTGAAGACGGTAGTCCCCTCTGTGCTCATGTCTTCACCAGATTGGTAAGAGTTCGTGATTTGCTTGTTTCTTCGGCAGCCAAAAATAATAAAAAATATGGACATCTGACAATTCTGCTCACCTGTCAGGTTTGGGTCTGGTCAGCCAGGTCAGGTGAATATCTGATTTACGTCGTTTACGATGCCCAATATCTGATATGCCATTGTGTCTGGACAGGAAGTGGGGTGTCAAAAGTGGGGTGTCAAAAGTGGTATTGTCATGCTGAGGGGGGAATACCTGATTTGCTCTGAAGTATGTGGGGTTGTCAATTATCGATAGTGGGGTGTCAATTATCGATAGTGGGGTGTCAATTATCGAAAGTGGGGTGTGAGTTATCGATAGCGCGAGGCGGTATCGACGGGCGTGTAATTTATTTTGATTGTTTATTTTGTACGCTCTTGTCGATCGTTAGTGTGTCAGCCGAAGATGATGATCGTGGAACACGATTTGTCTGTTATAGATGGTTACACTCACAAAGTCGCTAAAATGTCGCTGACTGTGTTGCGAGCGTCGTCTGATTTTTGTGTTCATCGCGGTTGTCGTTGCAGTCGTTTTCGTTTTATCAAACGTAATCAAAATCTGAATGCCTAATTTCTCTTCTATAGTATAGACTGCTGATCTAAAATTTTGGTAAATGGTTTCATCACTGTTTAAAGGATTTGAAGATTAAGATGGTATACTGGCTCGTGAAGGAATCGCGGTGAGGTGTTTGCCAAAAATTGTAGTTTTTTGGGCCATATTGCTTTTCGCTGCACAAAGTTACAAATTGCTTGGTGTCACCCTGGTGTGGTGAACACTTTCCTTTTTTTTTTTTTTTTTTTTTTTTTTTTTTT